GTTGATCTTATCATTGCTGTACTCGGAAACCTTATTCCCGGAACTGTCATCTCTGCTGTTTTATCTACAATTTAAGGCTAAGTATTGTACATTTCTTCAATTATCATATTATTTCATGACCAAATTAGTTCAATTGTCTAGAAACCAGGTATATATTCAACTGTACCGTTTTACAGGTAAATAACTACCCCATATAAGCGTGCTCTAATAATTCCCTAAAATTTCCGGCTGACTTTTCCCCTAAATCCTTTCCCCCCTAAATCTTTTCTCCCCAAAAAAATAATTATGCCCAAAAATATCCCACTAATTTAAGTTTTACCCAAATTACATGAAAACTCCCGTCCTTCTTCTTCCTTATAACGAGCTCTAATCATCTAGTTAAGCAGATTAGGGTAGATTTTGTGAAAATTGCTGATGGAGATGCTTAATTTCTTCTAATTGCTCTTCTTAAAAGTCAAAACCCTCTTTTATTTAGGTTTGGTGGCCATGAGTTTCAATTGGGAAGTTAGTTTGCTTAGGGTTACAACTGCTAAAAACTTGTAAAATTTCTATGAAATTTTTGCTTTCCGTTTAATAGCTTTACAATTTTTACTATCCGTTAAATAACTAGCAACATACTAGATAATAGTCAGAAAAAGCTTCTTGAGGAAGGCCACTCCTATATCTGATCTAAAGTAGGAAATATGGAGATTGGAATTAGGAAGAATGGGATGCTAGTTAGAATATCCAAAAGAATAACAAAAAACGCAAATATGAAAATGAATGAACACTTACAAAGTATATGATAATAATGCATATGCTTGAAAAGACCATATCGAATGTATATAAGCAAAGACCGCGCTTTCTAATTCAACTGTTCCGTTTTACAGGTAAATAACTACCCCATATAAGCGTGCTCTAATAATTCCCTAAAATTTCCCGCTGACTTTTTCCCTAAATCCTTTCCCCCCTAAATCTTTTCTCCCCCAAAAAATAATTATGCCCAAAAATATCCCACTAATTTAAGTTTTACCCAAATTACATGAAAACTCCCGTCCTTCTTCTTCCTTATAACGAGCTCTAATCATCTAGTTAAGCAGATTAGGGTAGATTTTGTGAAAATTGCTGATGGAGATGCTTAATTTCTTCTAATTGCTCTTCTTAAAAGTCAAAACCCTCTTTTATTTAGGTTTGGTGGCCATGAGTTTCAATTGGGAAGTTAGTTTGCTTAGGGTTACAACTGCTAAAAACTTGTAAAATTTCTATGAAATTTTTGCTTTCCGTTTAATAGCTTTACAATTTTTACTATCCGTTAAATAACTAGCAACATACTAGATAATAGTCAGAAAAAGCTTCTTGAGGAAGGCCACTCCTATATCTGATCTAAAGTAGGAAATATGGAGATTGGAATTAGGAAGAATGGGATGCTAGTTAGAATATCCAAAAGAACAACAAAAAACGCAAATATGGAAATGAATGAACACTTACAAAGTATATGATAATAATGCATATGCTTGAAAAGACCACATCGAATGTATATAAGCAAAGACCGCGCTTTCTAAGTATTCCTTTAGAAGTCACAATTAACAAGTGTGGCCTAAAAGGTAACAAAGGCCATGCTTTCTATGTGTAGATGTAGGGTATAAAAGCGTTGCCATACGGGGTATAACAAGCGTCGTCTTTGTTAACTAATAGGCCACGCTTTTAAGCGTGACTTGTAAGACAACATTTGAAAAGCGTGCCCTTAGGTCAAAAGTTTATGTTTCTTTTAGCCACGCCAAAAAACCTTTATCTAAAGTCGGCCACACTTTTTGCTAGTTTAGGCAAAGGCCACACTTTTTGCTAGTTTAGGTCACACTTTTCCGGGTAGTCAAAGAAACTACCATATCGAATGTCTAAATAGGGTGTCAGTCGAGCTTGAATTTAATACCTGTAAATTTCATACGCTAGGATTCAAATGCTTTGAGTCTTAATTGCCTAAAGTCATTCCAGAACAGTTGAAAATTACTTTAAATTCGGATTAAACGAAGATAAAAATGTTGCAGAATTTTCAAATTCACACTCTGTTAATATAACTTGATTTTTTTTTAAAAAAAAAATCTTTTGCGTACAACTATTTCCTTTGCAAAACTTTTCTTAGCAAACAAAGAAAAAGTCTCGTGTTACAAGTTACAACTTAAGCATAAAATAGTTAGTGAGATACGGTGAAATGCCATACTGTACAAGACGCCGCCAACCTTGGCTTTCCAATGCCTTGATTAATGGAATTACTTCTTTATGAAATTTTAATTATTTATTTATTTTTAAAATCTTTGTTTTTGTATTCATTATAAATTAAACGTCGTGATTCACCAACAAGTATTATGATAGAGTGACAAACAATTATCTTTAATTAAAGATATTGAGTTCGAGTTTTGAATATAAAATCGTCGTTATAAGTGCAGTGTTTTCCCCTAAACGTAAAACTTTCAGCGTGAATATGTGAATTCGAATTTAGTGGGACTTTGAGACATATATCAAATACAGAGTGGAAAAAAAATATCCCCGATTCTGTGTTTGAGATTTTGTTATAATTTTTAGGGAAAAGGCCCAAAAATGATCTTGTGGTATTCGAAATGGATCAATTATAACCCCCGTTTAAATTTGAATTTAAAAATGACCCTGCCGTTATAAAATGGGTCTAATAATGCCCTTGTGTTATTCAAAATGGATCAATAATGCCCTGAAATTATTATTTTTTTTAAAAATACTTTTAAAAATTGAAAAATATATATTCTGTAAAAACTAGAAAAAGAAAGGAATTTGCAAAATATATATTTTTAAGTCTTTTGAGTTTTTTTTAAAGTATTTGTTTTGTAAAAACTGATTTTTTTTTAAAAAACTGAAAAAAAACTCTCCTAAAGCAGTGGACTACATATGCATTAGTTTTAAAAAAATAAAAATATTTTGCAAAATCTTTTTTTTTTCAATTTGACGGTTCAATATTTTTTCGGTTTATTTTTATAAAATAAAAAATCTACCATAATTATCGGTACAGTTATAGATTTATATAAAAATATACGGTTTTATTAAAAAAAACCTNTTATAGATTTATATAAAAACATACGGTTTTATTAAAAAAAACCTAAAAATCGGTTCGGCACGGTACGATTATGTCGGTTTAGTCGGTTTTTAAATATTCATTTACAGTTATATGTCGGTTTTTTTAAAAATAAATTTCCAGTTTTTTAGTTTTTTTTTTCCAGTTTTTACAAAACAAATACTTTAAAAAAACTGAAAAGACTTAAAAATATATATTTTGCAAATTTCTTTCTTTTTCTAGTTTTTACAGAATATATATTTTTCAGTTTTTAAAAGTATTTTTAAAAAAAAAAAATTCTAGTGCATTATTGATCCATTTTGAATAACACAAGGGCATTATTAGACCCATTTTATAATGGCAGGGTCAGTTTTGGATTCAAATTTAAACGATGGTTATAATTGATACATTTCAAATACCACAAGGTCATTTTTGGGCTTTTTCCCTAATTTTTATTATCAAATTCCTGTAAGCACATGATTACATGAACATTATTTGTATCCAGAGGATAAAGATGGCAAACGCATATTTAAGTCGGTTCTTCATCATTTTATTCATTCTTATAGCCAAGGGTTTAATTTAATAATTCACCATTATCGACGAATGAATTCGAAAAGTCATAGAATATTTCAGCCTAAAAGTCTAACAAAGAAAGAAAATTAAGATTTTTGGTTTTAACTTTGATTTTGATTGTTGAAAGATTGATTTGGAGATATGTTTGAATTTTTTTTTCTTCAAAATACTCTTAAAAGAGCGTTACTTGAAAAACTTTTCTTTGCAATTAAAACTAATAACTCGTCAATATAATCTGCTAAATACTAATATTCTCAAAACCAAATTATTACAAAGTCTTCAATCATTTTTCTGCATAATTACTCGTTATTCTTATTCTTTCTCCCCTCTTATTATAAGTTAATAATTAGGTATGAATATTTGCTTTGAATAACATATAAAACTTGGTTTAAGAGGAGAAAATATGTCAACAATAATACACGGAACATGCAACTTCATGGAATCTCAAAAAAGAAAAAAGAGAGTAAACTTAGAGAATTAAGCAGGTAGGTGTCGTTACTCTTTCGGACTACTGCTTTTATTAGTTTTAATTAAACCATAATAATAATATTTTAAAATTGTCATAAACACGTTTAAACTACTGTTCAGCAAAGTATGAACATCTAATCCATTCTTGCTACTACTTCTGGATGTATTATATGATTAGTGTGTTGTTTTATACTAAGCATTTTTGGACTTCGGTTTTCAGAAAATCAATTTCGCGAATAATTTCAAGTAAATTTTTTTGTTTACGTATATTTTACTTTATTTCTAATGCTTTTTGTAAGTGCAATCCATTTCAGGACATAACTTGAAATCTTACTAAAATCATGCAACCTTATCTGGAAAAGTAAAACTAAACAAAAGGCCGATATTTCTTTGGTCTAGCCTAACAATTTTCAGCTGCTTTGAGAATGACATTACGACGTCATCTTACATTATGTTTACAATTCTAATGTCACATTTTCAAACAATTGTTCATATAACAATAAGTGCAGTTTGGGTATAATTATTTATGAATAATAATGTTAGAATTATAATGCGATAGTATATTGTTAGGGAGAGATTATCTATTTTAATGGTACTCTTGTCTTTAGACACTTTTATTCATGTATTGTTAATATATACACATATTTCAAATTGTATTTGCATAAGATAATATATTTTGAATAACTTATGCAAACATTAACAAATGTGCAATTTAATATTATGAACCAAATTTCCTTGCAAGTTGTAGTAACATGTTAGAGAATCAGTCTAAAACCAGCCAGCCAATGGCCTAGTCTTTAAATTCCTCTTTCCGCCCCCTTTCAAGTCCTTTACCATTTGTACACGCCTTTGACCGTGAAAATATACAATGTGCTTATTTTTTCTTCCTTCCTTTTTGACAGCATTTACGTCCCCAAACTCCTTTCTTTATTCTCCCAAGCAGTAGCCTTGAACCCCATAAAAACCTTTCCTCAAGTAAACTTCAGATACCCTTTTGTTATTTATTCTCATTCCAAAGATACATACATAGAAAAGCTCTTTCCTTTACTCTGTTCATTCCAAAAGCTCTTATTTATTTTCCTGTTTACCTTGTGTTATTAAGCCAAATGTTCAAGAAAATGGTGCAGTACCAAAGATATCAGCAGTGGAAGAAAGGAGATGAGGTGGTTGTTTGTTTAGATGAGAAGTCACAGTACCCCTTTGGTCTAGTTTGTGAAAATATTGGTCACAGCAAAAGATCAAGACCCAAGCTTTTGTTTCTTCTTTTGCTGTCTCTCGTCTCTTTCAGCTTTATTTTAGCTCCTTATTTCTTCACATCTGCCCCTACTTTTTCTCTTTTATGTAAGTCTCTCTCTTTTTCTTCTTTGTTCATGTTGTTTGCTTTATTCTTCCTCTGTTAATACTCTTTCTACTTTTGTTTCTCTTTTTCTGATTGTTCTGTTTTGTGGGTCTGTGCAGATTCATTTGGTTTTGAAGATGAAAGGCTTATTTCTACATCAGCTGTATATGCTTCAGTTTGTTCTTCTGTCTCTAATGGTTAGTTGCTTCCTCTTTATATTTATCTTCCTTTTCTGTTTTTTTTCCTGTATTTGTTATAACAATATGGTGCTTTTTTTCTCCAGATTCCCTCTTTCTCTTTATTTACTGCTTGAGTATTTTGAAATACTAGGGATTTCATTTTGTGTTTTTCGATAAACTTTTTTTGGACTTGTTACACAAATAGATGGTTAGGGCCTGTAGCCCTTTGGTTGCTTCTGAGAGGAAAACAAGTTCCTTTTTGTTGTGCTTTTATAGCATCTATAAATATACAATTAGATTTTTCAGGAGCAAATATTGCATCCTGGGCAGGTGCAATATACCTTTAGATCTTTTTTAACTTTTTGATATATGTGTGTGTGTTGTAATCTGGTCCTGTTTTGAAAGGCAAAAACATAATTTAAGGCTGCATGGTCTTCCTTTTGCTATTAATCCTTTTGGTTTTTTATGTTAATCTAACAGTTAGAGCATTGTATCAACCTTACTGCTTGATTTTTAGGTTTATGCACTTCTCTTTTGCAATTTTTGAGAGATGTTTTCATCAAAATGCAGGGTCAATCTGCTGTGATAGAAGTAGCATCCGGTCAGATATCTGTGTAATGAAAGGGGATGTAAGAACAAATTCTGCTTCCTCCACAATTACCCTCTACAGAGACAATGATTATGGCAGCCAAGTATTTGGGGCATCTGGTGAAAATGACGACATATTCCAACACGAAAAGATTAAGCCGTATACTCGGAAATGGGAAAAAAGTGTAATGGACACAATCGATGAATTAGACCTTGTTTTGAAGGGAGAGAATAATGCCATTCATCAGAAGTGTGATGTCCAACATGATGTACCTGCTGTGTTCTTCTCCACCGGAGGTTACACGGGTAATCTTTACCACGAATTCAATGATGGAATTTTGCCTCTTTACATCACTTCTCAGCATTTCAACAAGAAAGTTGTATTTGTAATCCTTGAGTATCATGATTGGTGGATTTCAAAGTACGAGAACATACTGCCTCACCTCACTGAGTATCCTATTATCGACTTTAGCGGAGATAATAGGACTCATTGTTTCCCTGAAGCCATAGTTGGTTTAAAAATACATGATGAGCTAACTATCGATCCTTCATTGATGGGAGGCAATGGGACTATTAGAGATTTCCGAGACATGCTAGACCGAGCTTATTTGCCTCGAATTAGAGGGTTGATCCAAGAGGAGGAACAAGATAGACTTGCTTTGTCACCGTCAACTAAGACAAAGATAGAGATGACTGAAGAAAAGCAGGAGTTGAAGAAACCTAAAGTTGTCATAATAGCCAGAAATGATTCAAGAGCAATACTCAATGAAGATTCATTAGTTAAAATGGCACAAGATATTGGGTTCCAAGTGGAAGTTTTGAGGCCTCAGCGAACGACTGAGCTTGCAAGGATCTATCGAACTCTTAATTCCAGCGATGTTATGATTGGAGTTCATGGTGCTGCTATGACTCATTTCCTCTTCATGCGGCCTGAATCCGTTTTTATCCAAATCGTTCCACTGGGAACAGATTGGGCCGCAGACACTTACTATGGACAACCAGCAGTGAAATTAGGTCTCAAGTACATTGGCTACAAAATCCTTCCACAAGAGAGCTCTTTGTACAATGAGTACGAGAAAACTGATCCTGTTCTAACGGACCCGGACAGTGTGAACAACAGAGGATGGGAATTCACGAAAAAGATCTACCTTGATCGTCAAAATGTGAGGCTGAACCTTCGGAGGTTCCATAAAAGGTTGCTTCGTGCCTATTATTATTCTGTTGCAAAGAAGAATGGACGTCATCATTATCAAAATCAGTAATTCTTTTCCATCTATGTGGTTACTGGACGTGATTAATCTCAGTAGTCGTAGTTCTTAGAGCTGTACATCAATATTCACATGAAAAAAAGAAAAGGAATTTTTTTGTAAAGATTACTAGCAACTGTGTTTGTAAATCAAGTAGGACAAAAATATTTGATCTTTGGTATATACTACATTCACTTTAAAGAAAAGATTTGTCTTGCTTCTGAAATTTATACATATGTTGTTATGCTATTTATTTGTCAATGTGGACGTCCCATGTTATACACCACCAAAACCCAGTAGTCCATGCCTTTGGTGGTTAGTGATGATTTGCTCTTTCTAAAATTAGCTGTCTTTTCCTCAGTCAACTGCTGACACTTTGTTCTGTTGGCTTTGAGCGTAGAAAGAAGAAAGAGACCATTTTCTTTTAATATCTTGTGTACACTTTCTTAGTTTAATTTGCAGGCATGGCTATTGTGTTTCTTGAACTGAATGTATAGTATCGAGTATCGGATTGAAGTGATGAGAATATAGACAAACATATGTGCCTAGGTAATACACTGCTGCACTTGAACATGGATCTTCATATATCTGAAAGCATCAATTATCTCAACAATTAGCAATACAGGCCAGGATATACTTTATTGACAAATTCTTTAGTTAGCGATATGTATCCATATTCCTTCTTTATAAAATGCCATAACCATAAATGCGCATGATTTGAAGTTTGAATGCATTGCTAGTAGTAAACTCTACAATTTTGCTGCTGGTTTGTGAAATGTTTCAGTAGGAACTGATAAATCTTGGCATGCTGTTGTAAGCATGACAATTTCCAGGCTCAAAATTTTCTTGATCTCCAAAGTACAATATGTTGGTTTATTTTTGTTTTAACATTCTTCCTTCTCTTGGCGTTTGTGCCTTGTTCTTTCTTTAAACAGATATTATGGTTTTACAAGTATACAATAGGCAAGTAGACTTTCATGAAGTTGAACACAAATATTCCAACAATGTATCAGCTGGCTATCGTGCTATGGATCGATGAAATATTTATATTTGACAAACTTTATTGTAGTTGGCACTACATCCCGTTGAACTATGTGCAGTTTTCAAGAAACTGCCCCAAAAGTCTAGGCAAAGTTTGATCTACTAAAATGAGTTGTAAACAACTGCTCAGACCAGAAGCTGGTTTCTAAATTAAAAGGCTAGATTCTGCTGTAGAAAATTCTGCCAAAGCATTTAAAAATATGTAAATGCAAAGTGCAGAGCATATCATGTTCCCCGCACTGGCTTTTATGAGTTTGTATTTGAGGTACCTAGCTTTTGAAATGCTGTATGGCAACTTTAATTAAAGGTGCCGTTAAAGATTCTTCTCTCATCATTAATAAAGTTTCTGCATTGAAAAAAACTTTGTTAATTATGACAGAAGGATCTTTAGCTGGCAGTTGGCACAAGCACTTCCCAACTAGGGTTGTGCGCATGGTAAATACCGAATTGACGTATTGAAATCGAAAATTTTGGTATTCGGTATTTCGGTATTTGGTACGGTATTTAGTGTATGTATTTAAATTTTTTGATATTAGGTACGGTATTTGGTATTTAAAAAAATAATACCGAAATATTGGTACCATACCGAAATAAATACTAAATTACACATTAAATATATTGATTATAACATACTATAAGTTACACAATACTTTCTTTGGCATTTTAGGGTGTTTCTTACTTTGTTACTTGTATATTGCTGTAGCATTAATTTGTATTACCTTACTGTATTCTCTAAGTTCAACAATTACCTCTAAGTAAGTAACAAGATATTTTCAACGATCATATTTATTCCTTTATGTACCTTTTTTCTCTCAGTTTATACTTGCTGGTTTTGAATAAAGATTTTGTCAACAGTCAGATGAGCTAGAATGTTTTTATATTTATATTTGTAAATACTTTAATTAAGAATATTACAGTTAATATTTAAGCCGAATAAACCAAAGTTACCGAACCGAATAAACCGAAATCAAAAAGAGAAAAGCCGAACCATACCGAATTTAATTAGGTATGGTATTGATATAGCATTTTAAGAAATAGAATACCAAAAATATCTAATCGAAATGTCTAAATATCGTACCGTACCGACCGATGAACACCCCTACTTCCAACCTTTGGTGTGAGAAGTTCTCGTGCAGTCAATATACCTAATACAATTGCTAGCAGAGACCAAAAAAAAGTTATATGATTTTTTCTTATTTGTCTAATTTTTGATGGACAAAATTAACGATACCTGTACTAGTAATTATATTTTCTCCCCAAAAATATTATTCAGATTGTTATTATAGTTGTAAGTTTGACTACTCGAAGTGCTTAATCAAATGTACAAAAGTTATTTTACTCTGAGTCTGGGTAGACTTGGTAGATTGCTATTACTACATAACTTGTATTGTTATTACTTCCTATCGCCTATCAGTACTTTTATCATTTTTTTCTTTGCTATTTTGGTTTCAGTTTTCTAAATATCATGTATTGTTATTACTTGCTATCAATGCTTCTTTCATCTTTTCTTTAGGTGAGGGTCTATCGGAAATAATTTCTCTGCCCTTCCAGGGTAAATGTAAAGTTGCGTACATTCTACCCTCCCGAAACTTCATTTGTGAGAATACACTGGGTGGTTGTTATTGTTTGTTGTTTGTAGTCTTGGTAGATAGTTGATATTTTACAATTTTTTTTTTTTGGAATCATGACAAGAACACTTCTATTTCTTTGATTTTTCATGGTACATGAAATACTTTATCTTTCTCTTTTTTCCACTGTGAGTGGACACTTGATTGAAATAAGAATAATAGAAAGAGGAGTTTGGTTAAAGTTAACTATTTTGACTCTTGAAATCTACAAAATATCATATAAATTGAAACAAAGAGAGTACAAGATAACAATTTTACTAATGAGCTACCATTTTCTAAAATCTAGCAAGAATGCTCTCATTTGTCGTCTTTTAATTTTTTTTTTCTTTCCAAAAGAATTTAAAATAAGCATTAAGCAAACCATGTACTCAACGGTCACTACTAAAAAACTGCCAAAAAGCGTCCAGAAAAACCGACTGAAATCGATCGGAATCCAACAAAAATCGACCGATTTTCGACCGTTTACAATTGGTCAATAAAATAATGGTCGCAAACAGGGAGCGACCGAAGTCGGTTGCTTTTTTCCGACCGAAGTCGGTTGGTAACTGTCAACGCAGTTTGACCAAATGTCTGACACAAATTAATTTTACCGACCGACGTTGGTCGGTATTGTTATAAATAATTTTTTAATTATTTTAAAATTCGGTCGGTAATTTAATTATTCATTTTTTTTAAAATTATTCATTTTCGACTGCAATAGGTCGGTATTGTTAAAATATAAAATTATACATTTTTACAAGAACTTGATCCGGTAAATTCACTTGCACAGACTTGAACTGGTAAAGCTGTGGCAAAAGATAAAAAGTTACATATAAGTTAGGAGAGGGAAAAGTTTGGTTGACTAATTATTGTGAAAGCTAAATAATACATGAAGGAGTTTACCTTTCCTTGCCATTCGAAATTAACCAAGCTGTAGTAAGGGTCCAACAGTATGGTTACATCTCCTCTTTGGATATGTCAATCATCAGTAGTTTAATATTATAACATCATTTACTTATTGTTCAGGCATAATTCTACTGCAGAAGTTTAGCAGCAAACTGAGATGTAAATATCTGAAATATATTACTAGTTTCTTAGCTAGCCTCTGCCGCTCTGATAAAATGATGTATTAATACCATCTTCTTCTTTTTTGGGTCCATTGAGATCCTGATGATAATACAAATATGCCAAAAAAACATCAAAACAGCACAGTGAAGTAGACTTACTGCCATTTCATGTATGCCATGCACTGTAAGTATGAAACAGTCCAGCTTGGTATCATTAAGACATACAGATTCCAGGGGATGCAAATTTACGAACAGAAGAGACACAAAACTTATACAGCTAAGGAGTGACAAATTCCAGGAAGTGATCTGAGTTATTTACAGGGGAAAGATTAGCCCAACTAAAAAGATTAACCAAACAACTAGCCTTAATCTTACCTTGAAAGATAGCAGGATAATCTTACCTTGAAAGAAGAGAGATAGAGAAAAGAGGCGAAATGGAGAAAATCCCGTCCGGACTAGATCTAAATTAAAAATTTCCCACCGACTTCGGTCGGAAATTTCGATCGATAAGTTTAAGTGGCCTTTGACCCGTTTGACAACGACCATTCCGATCGAATTCGGTCGGTAATTTAATGTTAAATTAAAAAAAAATATTTAATTTAAATACCGACCGAAGTCGGTCGGTAATTTAATGTTAAATTAAAAAAAAATATTTAATTTAAATACCGACCGAAGTCGGTCGGTAATTTAATGTTAGATTTAAATATTATTTATTCACTGATGAAGTATCCAATTGATCCACTGATGAAGTATCTGAGCAAAGTACTAATAAGGTGATCAGGAATGAAACATTCAAGATTATGTGTGTGTGTGCGCGCATATATATNGGTCGGTATTTTCATTAAATTAATATTTACACATATCCAACGATTATGTCAATTAAACTCGATAATTTACACTTACATACATATGACTAGTGTTGAAGATTTATTCTCAACTATTCATTCACGAATGCTTGATCGGTGACTAGATAAGAAAATAAATCTTGGAGTTTAAGTGACTAGATGCTCCGGTATAATGAGTGACTAGATGCTCCAAGATGTGTACAATCGACACAGTCTTAAATATTTTATTCTCGATCACCTTATTAGTAGTTTGCTCGGATACTTCATTGGTGGATCAATTGAAAATTCAATATTAAGTTCTATCCTACTTAATATAAATTATATCTAATATTAAGCTGTATCCAATTATATTAAGTTCTATCCAATTATATTAAGTTGTTGCTAAAACTTAAATAATAATATAGCACTACATCTTATAGAACTATACACTTTATTTTTAAATGTGTTATATTAAGATTTAATCGAATATAATTGAATTCCCAATTGATCCACTGATGAAATATTCGAGCAAAGTACTAATAAGGTGAACGAGAATAAAACATTCAAGATTATCTGTGTGCGCACGCGCGCGCGTATATATATATGTGTGTGTGTGTGTGAGAGAGAGAGAGAGAGAGAGAGAGAGAGAGAGAGAGAGAGAGAGAGA